CCCCAAAACCCCAAAACCCCAAAACCCCAAAACCCCTCAAATGCTCGTGTTGGTTGAAAATATTATTTTTGTTTGTGCATCGAAGTCTTCGCTCTCTTCCTGATAATTCCAAAATACAAAATATGGCTGCTGATCTTCTGCTGCTTCTCGCAGCAAAATCTGTAATTCTAAGCTGTTAACACCCAAATTACCGCATGTCATGGGAAGTACGGGTCGTTCTGGAGAAAAGACTTGTTGGACTTCCGCTCAGGCAAAATATTCCTGGGCTGTTTCGCAAACGAGAATGACACATGGTTGTCTCTTCTTCTGTGGCGAACTTAGTAATGAGAGCTTACTCAAGATTCTGGCTTGTCCTCAGGCTGCGGCTTTTGTTGGTGGTGCTGTTTTCTATAAAATCACTCGACACATTTACCGTTAGAATAGTAATATCCTGGCCCAGGGAGATCTAAGAATGAGACCAGATGCATACCTTTGTAGTTCATGTGCTTTGTCTGTGACAACACTCGCTTGTTCATGTTCCATAGCTCACTCAGCTTCTTCTTCGATTTCTCGATTTTCTGTTTGATTTTTCTGTTGAAGTCTACTTTCTTGTCGAAAAGTCTGTTGATGCTGTAATGAGTGGGAGAGGGACTCCCTTCTAGTGCTCCTTCGTCAAGGGTTTTCAGATCTAATTATCAACAAGCGAGCCTCACTTGTAGCGATGCTTTCGCGTGCAATTCTGTTAAGTTTGCTGTTTGTCCTATAGCTCGTTGTTTGGGAGTACCTGTAGTTAGGAACGTCAAAGTATTTCTGGGTCTTACCGAACCTACATCGGCCTGTAGAGCGTCTCCTCATGTGTTTAACATTCCTGTAGTCCATCCTGGCAGCATAGTCTATTTTATAACGTACAAGCTTACTGTTGTATGCTTCTTGAGTAAGTTTCTTGGTCCATAATTTTCTAAAAGATTAGCAATGTGAATGAAATAAAATATTTATGAAGCTTACTTTGGAAGCATCCTATTTCTTCTTGAAATTTTGCAGCCTCCTCTTAATCGTTTTGTTTGTATTTTCTGCTTCTATGAATGATGACAAGGTGGGAGGTTGATTGGATGCAACTATATGACTTTAGTACAACCTTAAACCAAATACAAATTCTATTTTCTACAATATTCATATTTAAATTTATTCGATATTTAAAGATACAAATGGGGTTTTGGGGTTTTGGGGTTTTGGGGTTTTGGGG